TTTATCACTTCAATTTTTAATGATTTAAGTTTGCTTGTGTATGTTCTCTGAACACAATTTTTCAACTTTAATAGTAATTGACAAATAATGAATTGACAAATTTAAATTGAATTAGTTTTTATTTGTTATAAATTTTGATTTTAAAGTAATAAATAAATAAATATTATAAATAAGTTCACAGAACATTGATTATAATAAATGGAATACATAAACCTATTTTTATAAGAGATAAAATTCATACTTTTAATAGCTCTTTGCACATCAAGGTTAAAAATCTCAAAGTTAGTTTGTATTATTGAGCTTAAAATCTCAAAATAAGTTTGTAATGCTGAGTTTTACATTTTAGGATAAGTTGGTATTAATGAGTTTAAAATCTTAAAATACTAAAATTAATTTGTATAAGTTTATCATGTCTATTGTTATAATAATCTGCCTAAATAGTGCAAATAAATTGAAGAAAATTAAAAATCTAGTCAACACCTTATACTTATTTGTTTTGTAAGAATTTTTTTAATTGTTTAAGTTTTTTTTGTTTTATCTAATCTCTGAAGAATGTGTTTATTAACTATAAGTTTATTATTCTTAAGTTGTTACTAGTTTATTTTGCGATACCAGTTAATTTATTAGTACTAGTTCTACTTGTTATTTTAGCTAATGTTTAGTTTTTTTTTTGTTCTCTTTTACTTTTACATATTTCGTACTTTATTTTAAAATTAGAGAGATTTGTTCGAAATTAAGATATGTTAAATGAGGAAAGTGTGCCCCAATAAAACAGGCAGAAGTAGTTACCAGTTGAATTTTTAATTAATTCACCTACCTAAAGTTGATAACCACATAAGATAAGGCTGCAACACCACCAGTCCTATTTTCAATTCAATAGTAGAATTGAGGTACTCACTCAGCTCACAATCCAAAGGTTCAAAGTTCAACTTCATATTACGTTTCTGGAAGTATTGCACTTGACCTGTTTCTCTGCACAGTAGTCTTGTTTAACAAGATTTGTGTTTTGGACTGAGAGACAAATACAGTAAAAAATAATTAGTAGCCTACTTAGCTGTAGTGGAGGAGCCTTGGGAAGGTGAATTTAATAAATTAAATATAATAAAAAAAGTTTGTGACTTTTAAACATAGTGAAAAGGCTGTCTTACAGATAAACAAGTATATAGTGGTATTATAACCTTGGGCATATTAAGGTTCAGTTCCGAAACCTCTTCTCATCCCAGATAAATATTTACGATAACACCACTATCATTTACAGCACAGTAAACGCTATTTATTATCAACTGTAGTTAATAAAATTTATGTGAGCTGTGTGGCTATGTGGCTTTGCATGCTAGTTAAAAGTGAAGGTTTTTTTTTTTTGCATCATGTAATTTGTGAGTGTTCAATACTTTATTTTTCCATAGTGCCTGTTTAAAGTAAAAGGTTTTCATACATTTTTTGCATACAATTTTTATGTTAAAAATATGAATGACTTCATGCATATTAATATATGTAGAGCCCTTTAAGTAAAGAGAACGTGGGGTCCAAGATCTTTTAAGTGTTAGCAGCCTCAAAGTCATTGTTGCAAAGAAAAAAAACTTTTTTTTATTACATTAGATCATAGGAGTCAACATTTTTCTTATAGTTCCTCTGAAAGGACCTTTATGTTCTTTCATATATATGTATAATATATTTACATGTATATGTATAATATATTTGTCTATAAAATGCACTTTATTATGCAATTATAAGCAGAGAGAAAAATTCAGTTTTGTTTGTTTTAAGAACTCTTAAATTTTGGTTGTACTTATGTTTTCAGCTTTTTTAAGTGTTTTATCTTGTAATAAGGGTTTTTCCTTTTATTTTTTCTTCATCTTCAATTTCGAAATATTCAATTTCTATGCACTAAAATACCAATATTAACAACTGTTTCTATTGAGAACTTCTGTTCGCATCAGTTGTGGACAGAATTGGTGTGCTAAAAAGATTTTTAATATTTGGAGTAAACGAACTTTACTTGAAGAAACCTGTTTTTCATGGTTATTCTTTTTTATTTGATTTGCAGCTTTTACAGAAAGTTATCCTGCAACTACTAGTTCTACTACTCTACCGACCACCACAACCACGACTACAGCTAGCGAATCAACCTCCAGTGAAGAAGGTAATAAAGGCAAGCTCTTCAAGTAAACTTCGTCCCCATGCATTTAGAAGTGTTTTATAATTAAGTTTATTTAGAGAGTGATGATACATTTTTAAAATTATAATTGTGTTTGTTACATTTAAATCTGTCTTCATGTCCACAAACGAAGAAAAAACCAATCTAATCTGTGTTCTAAAGTTAGTTTATGCATTGTAATTCGTCAGTTGTTTTTATTTATTTGTTATTTTTAGTTGTATGTTCAGTTTTTATGTAGTGTTTTGTAGTGAAGTTTTCTGTGTATTGAATTATTAATATATGTGGATTGAAACAGAGAGGTTGCTGTTGGAGAACTTGGTATGCCTAATATATAACTGTTATTTTAGTATTTATATTTATCTTATTTTAGTTTTATAATAATTTAGAAGAGATCTGTGCTGAAATAACCATATTATTAACATTTTTAGTTTAACAAAAGTATGAAAATACTAAATTATATCTAACTACAGAAGTTTATAAACAAATGTTTATTTAAGGTCAAAATTTGAAAATTGTATAAATGTAAAAAGTATTTTTAAATAATATAAATGATTAATATTATTAAAAATTGTGTGTAAAAACAATTTGAAAAAAAAAACTGGTATTGACACCACCCACCCGTCCTTGATTTAACTAGAGTAGTAGTTGTATTGAAATAACCATATCCAGCCGGTACAAATGTTTTTCACTATGATCTGCATAAAAAATATTACCCAAAATTTTTAGCAAGATATGGTAAAATAGCCAACAGCATGAAAACAGTTTAATCTAAGAACGTTTTTTTTTCCCAAAAATATATGTAAATGATTGTATTTAACAAAAAATTAAAGTAGCTACAAACCAATCAAATTATTATATGCAGATTATTTTTGATTTTGCTAAAATTTTGATTTTTTTTTGTGACAATTTTTTATTTACAAATTTGTTTTGCTATTTCAACAAAATGATCGATTATTTTAGTACTGAAAGTTATACCTAAGTGAATTTTTAAAAGTTATGGTTATTTCATTACGGATCCTTTATAAAAACCTTTTTTTTTTGCATTATACATTAACATTTTTGCTTGATTTGCAGCTACTACTACTACTCGAAGTAATCCGACACCTGAAAGTAACACACCTTTGCCAACCACAACAACTACAGTTGGTTTGACAAATACTAAAGGTAAATAAGGCTATTTAAGAAAACTTCAATCTTAATAATTCCTAACCAATTCAGTATTAAGGGTTTTCAAATATTGTGAATAATAACATTTGCTCTTAATCTTTAATATATGCGTGTGTATATATATATATATATATATATATATATATATATATATATATATATATTTTACGTATATATACTGTATATTATATGTATATATATATGTGTGTGTGTGTGTATGTATATATATATATATATATATATATATATATATATATATATATATATTATATATGTATATTAACTTAAGTGTGCGAGATATTTAATCTTAGATGTGCACTTATTAAATACTAATTGTTAATTTTAAAATTTAAAATTAAGTTAAAAAATTTGAATTTACCAAATTGTTATTTAAAAAAAAAAAAGAAACTATCAATTAATATGGTTTAAACTATCAATTAATATGTTTAATTTCGTTGGCTTGTGTAATTAGAATAATTAGATAATTAGATTTCCATAAAAGTATTAATGGATTATCAAAAGAATAACATTTTTATTCATATTATTTTTTTTAATTTCTTATTTTGATGTTGTTTGATTCTCAGTTTTTACCGACGTCAATAGTTTCCAGTTGTTGTTTTTTTCTATTATTAGATGTTACTGCTGTTTCTGGAACTGGTGAAAATCAAAAAAAAAGTTTTTTCAGCGCGTTTGTATTAATGCTTGTGTTGTTTATAATTGCATTGTTTACCATTATAATGCTGCTTATAGTTGCTTGGAGTTACAGACGAAAACGGAAACATGGTGTTTCCGACCTTGATGGTGCAAATGGTTCGTTACCTAAATACTCTCTACGTTTCCATTATAACAAAAAATCTAAAAGAAATAACGATTCTACCAACACAGGACTTTTAAAAAATTCCTCAGTAACTGATGACGACTACAAACATTCGTTAACAGTTGACGAAAGTAAAGTTGGTAACAATGTAACGAACAAATCAGCATGACGTTGGCTACAATATTGCGTCATATTAGCTTTACAAGTTATCTAGTGACTACAGTATTGCGTCATTGTTTTAGCTTTACATCTAGTGACCGTTATATAGCGATTTTTAACTCATTGTGTTAAATTTTATTTTTAATGGGTCACACGAGGCGTAATTGACTAGCTCAGTGCTGAGAATTTCTTCGTCTAGCTTGTGTTTTTATTAATACACTAATACGCTTATAAAAGCGTATGTTTACAAAAGCGTATGTTTGCAAAAACATATGTTTACGAAAACTTATGTTTATATTTTTTAACTCTATTTTTATTTTTTTTAATATTACACAGATCGCCTAAAACCGCGTTCAGCATAAATATTTACATAATCTTCAGCGCTTTACTACCCTTCGGCTTACAAGTCTTCCTTACAATTTTTGCTTGGTCAAGCTTACAAACTCAATGTTAAACACTTCGTGGTATCTGTTGACAAGATGGTTGGAATTGACTTTAAGTTGTGCATTCGATGGTTCTCGCGCCACACAACGCATATATTGAAAAAATAACCTACTAAAAAACTAAAACAGTTTTTAAAATTATTTGTAGAAAAGTAGATAAGTTGTAAATATTATTTCATCTTTAATATTTTTTACTTTTATTTATGCGTAAGAATATTGATCAAAATGTTATCGATCTAGAATCGATTAAAACAAACTTTTTTTATTTTGCGCAATTAAAGTTTCATAATGAAACTATGTGAAAATCGGGTAATATGATTTTTTTTTTTAAATATGTTTTTTTTTATCTTACAGAAATTGCTACGATCAGCTTTGATAACAATAAAAATATACGTAAATGTGCATTACATTAATGTTCATAAATTATAACGTACATTAATTTTTTAAGTCACCCAAGATTATACATATTCTTTATGACTTAAAATTTTTTATATTAATTTGTCGATAGACTTTAATGTCCCCATAATTAAATGATGCTTTAAAGTTACCTTGATTTTTTTGATGGTATGAAAGTTAGCAAAAAAAAACAAACATTTTTTCTAACTTCCACGATGGAGTTTCAAACTTCCACGATGGAGTTTCAAACTTCCACGATGGAGTTTCAAACTTCCACGATGGAGTTTCAAACTAATGATTGATATTCAATACTAATTACAAATCTGGGAAGAAAAAAAAAAGGTTAAAATTAGCATTCTTATTGGAAACTTTGTAGGTTTAGTTTGTTTTGGCACACCCTGTATTAGTAAAGTTCATTAGCTCGTTCACAAATTCACGGCCTTGATCTTTAATCTGTATTTCAAAAATTCCTATTTGTTTATTTATACAGAACGTGACCTGAGTGCTTATTTATTTCAACTCAACAAAAATGTTAAAAGAACTTTTCCGCGTTAATATCTAAAAATAAAACTTTTAATTTTTTTATTTTTTTAACTTTTTTTCTTATTAATAATTAGTAAATGTAATAGCAAATAATATTTTCAATAGTTCTTATTAAAATTTAAAATTTATTGCATTACCTTTACAAGATCACTTAATATTTTCACCCAACATAAAATGGAGATAAAATAAATAAGCACTCGGGTTGCGAGAAATAATACCGCAGATTTTGCTGTTTTATCAAAACGAAGTTCAGCTTATATCCATTTGCTGAAATAATCGAGTAGTACTATGAAATGTTAATAATAATATACTTCCAGAAGTTGTTGAGTCAAACTAATCCCTACCTGCTTCATGTTACCTTTTAGAACTGATATGCTTTGTAACAATGGTTTAACTTAAAGTTGCTTGTTTTTTGTTTTTTAACAGTTGTCATATTCTGAATGTCTTTTACCATACCGAACCAAGAAAAATCAATTTTCAATATGTACTATTGTCCAGATTGATGATGCATTAGTTTCATTAAAAATATCATGATCATGCACAGACCTTATTATATGGTGTTTAATTGGTGTTGCTCTTCTTTACACCAAAATAACATTTTTCTATAAAACAAAATTTTAAAATATATTTGTTTGTAGTATTGATTTTGAAATAGACTTTAATACTTGTATTGTTTCCTATTAGGATTTATTTAGAGGAAATAAATATTAAATTAATATTAAAAAATTATAAAAGAATTGGAAAATTTGAGGCATAATGCAAATATAAGGAACGTAGTATAGGTCTTATGGGAATTGTTCTAAAGGTTTCAACACTGTCTAGATATCTACACTGTAAGATGATTATATAACTTATTAAATAGCTGTTTATGAAGTTATCATAATATGATATATACAGTATATATACACATATATTATATACAGTGTACATTTAGAACGTATATTATATACAGTGTACCTTTAGAACATGTATTTGTACATTTATAGAGCAAGTATTAAATAGGTTAAATACATAGCTTAGTTATACCAAGTGAATTTAAAAAATCATTTTTTTTATGTTGGTTTATTTTTTAATGTTTTTATCACAAAATACCGCAATATGGAGTTTAACATTTAATGAGTAGGTTTACCATTTACAATCTAACCGCCTATGTTTATATTTTGTTGAGAGGGGTTTGAACTCGGAACTCCTGAATTATGAGTACAACGCTGTAACTACTGCGCAATGACTGCTAAATTGACTTCTTTATCATGTAAAACATGGTGCATAAACACGTACGTAAAAATAAAGTAAGCTGTTTTTCTATTGATTATTATTGTTAAATAACATGTATTTAGCATGAGAGCTAACAGTTCGATAGTGTGTCAATAAATACTTTTTCCAGGCGCAACAAATTCCTTTTTGATGGATGTCTTTTATTTTATCCATATGAACAGCCCCTTGGCTGTTCATATGGATAAAAATAGGGATAATTTTTATCTAACCTAACCGGGATAGAAAAACTACGGCCGGGTGAATAAAAAAACGCAATTGCTATTACTCAGTATTTGATCAGCTTTACGTAAATAAAAATTTGAGCAATTTTCCTTAAATTTTCATTCGCGTAAAGCTGAGCAATTACTGAGTAAATTGCTTGTAAACTGCTTAACTTTACGTTAATAAAAATTTGTGCAAAACTGTTAAAGTTTTTATTCACGTAAAACTGACCAATTAATGAGTAAAAGCAATTGCTTTTTTTTATTTACCCAGCCTCTTGTCTCTTCTTTAAAATTCAAACAATTCTAATATTACATTGATATGTCTCACTACTCACCCCGTTTAGAAGAGATCTCGCTTATAAACTACCGGAATCCCGATTAGGCGGTGTGAAAACTCTTCATACGAACACAAGCTGAAAAAAAAAGCTGTAAACAAATATCACGTGACCTTAGCAACGTCTTAAGCGGAGTGTTCGTAAGTGTTCGTGTTCGGATATGTCGTTTTATATATGCTCGTGCTCATAAGTGTTCGTGTTAGGATAGGCGCGCCAGTTTTTTCTCCATATGATTAGCCCCTAGTTGTCACAATCAACATGCTTATACTTTTTTTTTTCAGATCCTTTAATCTGAAAAAAAAGAAGGCATTTATCAACTAATATACAAGAGAAACAGGCATTTATCAACTAATATGTAAAAAAGAAAATATAAAGAAACTACCTTTGAAGAATCTTAAAGAGCAGTGACTTCTTAAGGTTCTTTAACAGTTGATTTTATATATTGGAGAGGATTTTAACCTTTAAGAGTCAGTTTAATGTGAATTTATCCCAAATCAAGCTTGTAATGAAAGCTATAATTATCTATACTGCTTAACGCCAGATGTACCGAGGTCATACAACTTATTATCTTTAATCACAAATGGCTTCATTTTCTATGAAAGTTTGATTTATTACCTTTACTTATAGTTGTCTTTGGATATATACATTGAAAAAAAAATTATATACGTTGGCAAGTTCAGTATGCAATACGTTGGCAAGTTCAGTATGTATGTTTAATTTTTAACAATATATATGCCACTGCATTAAAAGATTCGCTTCTTTATTGCTTTTCAAGAAACCACAGTTATTAAAACGTTTAAAAGTATTCACAAAATACAACGTGGCTTGGTTGCAAAAAAATTTTTTTTCGCAAAATATTTTATGAAAGTAAAATTCTCATATTGGGAGTAAAAAATTTAGATGAGATTTTTACTGGAGAAAAAAAATCTCATACTACACCGTATCAACGTATGTATCATGTTCCCTTTTAGTCTTCTCTTCTCGAAAGTTGTTGAATTAAGTGAAAAACTTTATATGTAACTTTTTTTAGATTGGAACTGTTTTAGCTGCTCGTCTTTGCATTTTTTCCAGATTATTTATATCTACTTTTATTTGAATCTTTTTTTATATCTCCTTTTATTTAAATGAATTTATTTGAATTTATATCTCCTTTACATTTAAAGACAAACTGGAGCAGCAAATTCAATATGCAAATATACTTCCTACAGTAACTAAAGTAAATTTTGAGATTTTAGAGACGGATTACCAATCCGTCTCTAAAAACTATGTCGTTTTAAGTTCTCTTATCACCATTAATCTCATTATCCTCACTTTTAGATAAGAATGATTATCATTTGCTGTTTTGCATTTTTCATCTAAAGTTTGACATGCTGGTCTCCTACATAAGCTTCTTATGGTGTTTCAGGAAACATCTTTAAGATTATTGAATTCTTCCTTACCAATTGTAGTATAAAAGTTGTCCTCGATGGACAGCACTCTTCTTCATATCCTGTAACTTCAGGGATTATCAAAATAATCTAGATCTTCCTATATCCATGAGCGGTAACGTACTTGATGAGTCATCTACCCTTTATCTTCTAGAATTATTACTTACTTCCAATCTTTCTTAGAAACCGTATATCAAATCCATTGCAAAATTAGCATCTGCTAAGGTTGCATCTCTTTATCGTGCTTGCCACTTTTTTACTCAGGTTTCTATTTTCTATCTCTATAAATCTCAAATCCCGTCCTTGCATGGAGTATTGTTTCCATATGTAGGGCGAATCTTCAAAGTATGCCCTTTCTCTTTTAGACAAGGTGCAAAAAACGCATAAGACAGGTATTATCTCTACAGCTAGACAGCCTGGGTTTTCATATTGCATGGGATTTAAAGTTGGCTAACATGATTATGGGTTTATCTGGCCATGGTAGTATCCATGCATGTTTATTTTGTGAAAGTGAGAAGACTATAAATGCAGGAATTCTAAGAACATTTGGAAGCCTTGATCTTCATCTTTCAGAGTATCAAGCAGCAGGAGAAAAAAAAGAAACAGCACAGCTGTATAAAAATGTTATACGAAAAAAAAGAAACAGCACAGCTGTATAAAAATGTTATACGAAAAAAAAGAAACAGCACAGCTGTACAAAAATGTTATACGAAAAAAAAGAAACAGCACAGCTGTATAAAAATGTTATACGAAAAAAAAGAAACAGCACAGCTGTACAAAAATGTTATACGAAAAAAAAGAAACAGCACAGCTGTATAAAAATGTTATACGAAAAAAAAGAAACAGCACAGCTGTACAAAAATGTTATACGAAAAAAAAGAAACAGCACAGCTGTATAAAAATGTTATACGAAAAAAAAGAAACAGCACAGCTGTACAAAAATGTTATACGAAAAAAAAGAAACAGCACAGCTGTATAAAAATGTTATACGAAAAAAAAGAAACAGCACAGCTGTACAAAAATGTTATACGAAAAAAAAGAAACAGCACAGCTGTATAAAAATGTTATACGAAAAAA